TAGGATTGTACAGTGTTATTAATTACAAATTTCTGGATTCTTCTGCTGATATCACTTTGTTCGAGATTTGTCCTGATTGATTGTTAATTAAAGAGTTCATATTTTATTGATATTTTATTTCACGTTGTGTCATGAATTTATGGTTGAAAGTTACAGTACTGGAGTACATTTGAAGGTATAAATTTTATAAATAAAAGTGAAGGAATCATAGTTTATTGATAATAGCGGTAATTAAAGTCAACGTACTGTATATAGTAATAATATTTTTTGCAACTAAATAGTTGTATAAACGCAGATGCAATGAAATAAATATTGACTCTATTTAATTAGTACAGCTTCAGGTGATTTATGTAACATCACGCGATATCCGATGTTTCTTCGCCTTTCTAAATATTTGCCAATATTACATATTTCAATTTTCCCTTGGTTGCAAATGAATTAAACGTCTGTCGAATTTACCTCATTCGTTAGAGAAATTTCGCAAATTATTTAAATACTCACTTCTAGAGAGCTCCTTAAATTTACTCAATTTTTCTTTCAAATTCAATAAAAATTGTAAAAATACCGTCTACATTCCTGTTACGATTTTCTCTCAATTGCTAGTAAATTAAACATGTGTCGAATTTACCATATTTACTACAGAAATTATTTAAATACTCATTTCTAGAGAACCCCTTAATTTTATTCAATTTTGCTTTCAAATACAAAATTTTCAAATTCAATAAAATTATAAAACTACCATGTATAATATTCCTACGCCTTTTCGAGTTATCGTCATTTGTCGAGAAGGTGATTGTAAACAAAACAATATCGACATCTAGCACAGTAAGGCAAAGCCAATGTTTTGGAACAGGCCTTCTCGACATTTCTTCAGAGTAGTCGTATACGAGAAGTCGTACAGGAAGGATGATAAGCCAAACAGCCAGCAACCACGGGTGAGCGTTAGTTTAAGGATAATAACTAGACTGCGGATTTTCGTGCAAATTCACATATTTATGAATATAATTAAAAAAATAGAAGCTAGATAGGGGATTTTTTTACTCGTTAAATATTATAACGAGTAGTGTAAGGGGGGTTTATTGAGTGGAGGAAACTACAATCAAACGAGCTATAATACTATACTTTGGATTTATTTATTTATTTTTGCTTACTATGTACATTCTGTGTATTTCTGTGCCTTCAAATTTTCCATAAATGTATAAAAATCCGCAGTCTAATTATAATTAAAGTGCAGTTATAGAGAATACCCTGTGCCTAATTAACCATAACATTCCCAAAGTATTCAGCTATTATTTCAAGTAAAATTTCCAATCGTTCCACATTTTTCCACCTGAGAGTACCTTTACATTCTACAACTCATTTATTCCAAGTACTATTAATATTCGGACACAGTATTATTCCTGTATTTGTTGCTCTGTATAAGAAAGGATGATTTAAATATCATACTGTTTGTTCTACAAAAAGATGAATCAGTCAGAAGCTAAATTTGGAAGAATATGAAAAAGTGGAGTTAATTATTTTGTCTTCTGAGTGGCTCATTTATTGCATTATAGATTGAAAATACATAAACAATATCTTCCACACAATTATCTATATTTAATTGTAAAATAGATTTTAAACAAAAAGTTGTCCCTGCATTTGTTGCTTTGTATAAGAGGGAATGATTTAAATATCGTACTGCTTATTCCACAAAACCATGAATCAATTGAGCCACTCAGAAGCTAAATTTGGAAGATTATGAAAATGTGGAGTTAATCATTTTGACTTCTTATGTAGATTGAAAATACATAAACAATATCTTCCTCGCGATAATATTTCATTGTAAAAATAGATTCTAAACAAAAAGTTGTCACATTTTCACGTCACATTAATATTCCAACACTTTATCAAAAATAAAATGTATAAAATTTAGGAAAAACTGCGATTTCAATATTTTGTCGCGAATCCTTTTCGTTTGTTAACCTTGTCTAACAGTTTGGGCATATTAAAAACAACTTCTTCCAAATATTCCAGAGAGACAGAATTCTTCCTTCAGTTAACTCCTCTTCCTCTAATTCCTCGACCTTCGTTCACAGGTACAACTTCATTTCACCCTCCTTCCTCTTTGCCCCGCAAAGCGTCCGATAAAACGCTATCTTCTATTTTTACGAGCACACACGCTCGTCCTTTGACGGTCGAGCGCGAAACCCGAATTTAGGCTGTCCAATGGGGGCGGAACGATAGTTCGGTTGGCTGTAATTAAGCGTCAGATAGCGAAACGACAGGCTGGCAGAGAGAAGGGTGGTTTTCCAGCAGCTATACCCGTGTACCCGATCCTTTAACTTGCCCGGGCCCTGCTTATCTGGTCATTGTATCGATTCCTACGAAACGCCGCAGGACTGCACCGGAAACGAGAACATTTTGGCAGAGAGTACCACGTCTACTGTGTATACCGGAAATGGTCGACGTCGCACCGGGGTTAGGAAGTTCGATGCTTGTTCCAGCTGGCCTTTTCTCAGTAAATGCTTACAGAGAGAGAGAGGATCTCGATAAGGGAGAAATACGGACAGGTTTCGAGATTCGATGCTTCTTTGAAAGGCCATTGTCGACGACTTTATCTCTTCTTTCCTCTGTACTGGCTTTTATTGTTACGAGCTTCCATTTCAGTACTTCTGCCAACTTCCTTCTTGTCTCACATTTTAATTTTCGCTTCTCGAAATTGCTTTTTATACAGGACGAGCCAATCTAACGTGGTTATTCTGGATTTAAATTTAGATTTAGGTGTATATATGGATATTGTGTATACAACGATTGTTGTATAAGCGAAGTACAGAGGAAATTCCTAATACCGGTAGAATTGCATAATTCTATCTTAGAAATCGAATTGTAAACTTTCTAACTTTTATTTGGTTGTTCTTTTAATTTATGAAAAATTGAAGAAAATGAAGAAGTTGTAAATTTTTGTTTTAATTTTTCAAAATGTCTTTTATACAGGATGAACGTGGTTCGTTATTTTAGATTATTCTGTTGTTAGTGTACTATTCGACATTTTCCTTTTTTTGAGATGATTATAGTACTTTTTTTTTTTTTTTGAAGAAAAAGTGTACCGTACGGTTGAAGTATATTCCCCGAATGTGTGTATTATATAAAAATGACGAAAATTAGAGGATATTCTTATTATTAGAGTACGAATATTTATACAAATGCATATTTTTTTATAGAAAATTGGTAACAAAGCGAGACTTGGATTTTTCTTTCTTTGCTTCGTAAGATTTATTATTGTTATACTTTTTGCAGATTTCACAAATTTGAAAATTTCATTTACCTATTTTGACGACCTCCAGTTTAACTTTGTTTTGTTTTTCTCGGTTTCTAATTTCTATAATGATATAATAGTTGTGTACAGTAACGAAGTGTAATGACAATTAAACAATACGAAATAGCTGTAAGTTGAAGATCGACGATAAAAGTCTTTTTTTAACTAAATGCCAGAAAGGTCTTTAAAAAGTTTCAAACGCGTGTATATTAGCTTATCTCGAACTTTCTCACGTTAGCTTCCACCTTCTGCTTTACTTGTCCCCAGTGAAAAAAAAATCTTTTATCAAATTCCGCCAGTTATTTCCAACTTTTTTCTACATCAGCAACGATCTTCTATTTTACACGACCCTATCGTCCAAGGAGCTTCTTTTACACAGTTTTATAAATTTAACTTTATTCTTGTGAAAAATGTCTCTTCTGTTCCTTCACTCTTTACACTTCTGCTCATCCATTCTTCACTTCTCTTGTAATTCTTAAACAAATCTTCTTGTTAAAATCTTACCAAAAGTTTTACATTCTTTTCACTTTTTATTCGTTCGCCTCTCAACTCCCTCCTTCCTCTCATAATTTATGCAGAAAGTTTCAGCCAATAATTCTTATTAAATATCAAAATAATTTTCAATTTCACGAAGCACAATTTTACTCTTGTAAAAATGTCCTCTACTATTTTTTTCTCTGATCCTATTCTATTCTTTGTTTCTCTCCAAATTCTTAAACAAATTTTGGACCCTTATTCCTCTCATACTTTATGTAAAAAGTTTCATCGCACAATTTTTATTGAATATTAAAATTTCCAAAAATTTCAAAGATTTACTTTCCAGAAATTTCGAAGATTAAATTTCTAAAATTTTTAAACATTAAATTTCCAAGAACTTAAGACAATTTTCATTAAATATTAAAATTTCCAAAAATTTCAGATTTACATTCCAGAAATTTCAAAGATTCACCTTCCAACATTCTCAAACATTAAACCTCCAAACACTTAAGATAATTTTCATTAAATATTAAAATTTCCAAAAATTTCAGATTTACATTCCAGAAACTTCAAAGATTCACCTTCCAAAATTCTCAAACACTACACTTCCAAAAACTGAAGACAATTTTTCTTAAATATCAAAATAATTTCTAAAAATTTATTTTCAAGTCTTCTTTGCTCCTGAAAAAACAGGTGAAGTCAAGTACACATCAAGCACGCCATTCACAGGCAAAGTAAAGATTAGATTTGGATCGGAAAGAGTACGTGTAACGCGTCGTTAAATATTGAATA